TCAGACATGCACCCTGGCTTCCCTGAAGGCATCCGTCATCCAGCAGTGAGAAAGCTAGGAAATCCCAGTCTGTCCCTCACAGAAAGTTGAGACATTAGAGGAAAGACACTAAAGCATGAGGAATTTAGCCAGTTACATTCTGAGCAGAGGCGAAGGGTGGCTGCCCAGAGCAAGAGAAATGTCACCCTGCCCTGTCTGTGAATTGGGTCTTCACGCTGGCAATCACTGTTAACAACACCTGGCTATTAAAGGGTGTTTCTCTCTAATGGCTTCACACTGAGAGCAATCCTGTGTCATCCTGAAACTTAAGTTATTTTTATACCTACCTTTTCTGCATTAATTTTTATGTCTACCTTTAATGTTATACTAAAGAAAAAAGCACACACAAACCTTGTTGATGTTTTAGAAGAACTGTTTCTTAAGGCAGAGATGAGTTTTAGAAGCAGTTAATAGTCTCGTTATCCAGGATCCTCACTGAAATTGCTCAGTCTTCTTTTCTGGTTCAGTGTTTTGCAAAAAAGGTCCTGACAACCAAAGGGCTATTCAAATAGGAGAGAGCTCTTAGGCTCCACCCTAACTGCTATTGTGTATCTGTAAGACTGGGAGACACTTAAGCCATTCTTACTCAATTTGAGCAATTTTTATCAGTTCACCCGAAGTTGCTGCCAATCAGAACATATGGTATTTCTAACGTGCCCACTGCACTTCCCGGTGACCTGTACAATGGACAGAGCATGTGTGAGGACAGAAATTCTAGCCATTTGGTTCTCCTTAGCATGCAGCACAGGAGCTGCACCCTGAGGCCATTTGATAAAAGCTAAAGAACTGGGAAGAGAGCTCCATGGATAAATCACCTGAAAGAAAGCATTAAGACTTGAATGTGTGTGCTCAGAGCCCATGTAAAGCCGGACACAGTGGTATATGTCTATAACCCCTCCACTCCTGCGTTGGGACGGGAGACAGATAGGAGAACACCCCTCAGTTCACAGGTAGGCCAGCGTAGGCAGCTGTGAGCAGCTACTAAATCTCTGTCTCACACAAGGTGGAGGATGAGGACCAACATCCGTGACTGTCTCCTGACCATGAAACACTCACGGTGGCACACATGTGTCTACACTCACACAAATGGGCATTCACACACCCCACGAGTATGCTGAGGGCTGGAACAAGAGCTAAGCATGCTGGGAGTGCATCAGATACCCTGCCTCTTTCCTAGCTCCCAGTGGACTCTCTTTTTAAGTCTAACAGTTAAATATCACTGGCTCACAAACCTAGAGTGAAAAATCTAGGGTTGGCCAGGAAAGCAGCCATGTCACTAAGTTATAGAAAGTCTTGATAAGTGACAAAATGTTGGCTCCCCTAACTGCTCATTGTTTGTGCATTCCCACTTCATATTCCCCATGCTGTGTGGGGAAATTAGAGAGATAGTCTCTTAATCTGGTCATAACATGAAGATAAAGATGGCACTCCTAGAATTAAACTTATCCTTTAGAAATGACAATTAGGACCCAGGCCTTGTTACACATTTTTCTTGTATGTTTTTGTTCATAGGTGGTATCTTTTATCCTGTTTACATATGAGTGAACTCAGGCCCCATGATCTGCCAGTGTAAGGGTGCCAGGCTTCCATCCCTGAGTCTGAACTGGTCCTCATGCTCTCACTGGCTTCTGGGAGACGCCCCACAGGCAACCCTGAGCCTACTGGTCTCTTACTCACTTGGGGATACTAGATGGAGATGCGCATTCTAGGCCAGGGCTGAAGAACCAGAATCTTTGGCAAGGGAGCCTGTAAGTTTCCATCATTTGCCACTAAGCCTGGTTGTTAAGAGGTGCACTAAAGTTTGTGGAACACAGCATTCAGATGTGTGACACCCCTTGCTGTGAGTCTGTAGGGCTTCTAATACTCCCTCCTCACTTTCTTCCAAACAAGAAAGAGGAAAGGAATGGAGAAGGAAAAAAGGAAGGGCAGAACTTAGCCAAATTGGGCTCCATTTTGGTTCAGGGCACATCCAACACAAGCCTTCAGTTCTTCTAGCTTCAGAGCCTACAATAGTATATGCCCCTCAGGGCTAATAGCTTCATGAACCCCAACATGGCCTGTCATGTCTGGGTCAGCCATGACCACCAATGGAGACTGACAGATGTGCCCAGGCTCTAAAGTAGTGCTTTTCCCAACCAGCTGGGACCTTGTGGCATGAGATCCCTTGTTGCCCTCAGCTAGCAGAGTTGGCAGTTAGTCTGAAAACAGGGAATATTTGGCTGAGGGGACCTGTGGCTCAAAGGAAAGGTAAAGAGCTCCAAAATGAGCTGCAGGGAAGAGGAAGAACCAAGAAGTCTCCAGGTACAGAAAGGAGCCTGAGGCCAGAGCTGGCAGGTATTGGGTAAGTTGGCTGAGGGATGGTGACAGTCACGACTAGTTCTCACCAGCAAATCGTGAAGCCACTGAGGGGTTTCGTGTTCATAATTCTAAAAGCAAAATAAGCATTTTATTGATCAGGGTTCTCTAGAGGAACAGACCAGATGGAATAGATAGATAGATAGATAGATAGATAGATAGATAGATAGATAGATATAGATTCCACATATCTATCTTTATCTATATTTCATGCACATGTATTTATATACATGCATTCATCTATATATAATACACATAATTATGTGTATATATGTATACATTTATATTATATATTACAAAAACATAACATACATATGTACATATAATATACATAGGAACATATAATGTACTTATGTGCATATATACGTAAGTACATATGTATATATGTATGCACATATGTATACACATGCACATTTATGCATATGTGTGCATAGATACATATGTCTAATGCATCTATATACAATATACATGCATGTACATATAATATATACCTATGTGCATATGATATATATAATAGACACATGTGTATTTGTAATATATAATATGTACACGTGCATCTGTGTATATATCATGTACATAATAATTGTACATGTATATTATTAATTAATTAATATTATTAAAATCAGCCTTTGCCGTAGTAATGACAGCTGTCTCACCACAGTGAGGCTAAGAACCTACTGGGCCCCCAGCACTCAGATTAGTGCCACGGGGACTGCTCACAGCAGACAGGCCGAGACCCCAGTAGCTGTTCAGCACAGGAAGCTGAGGGCCTCAGGACTCTTCGGCCTGGCACTAATGACTGAAACATTCCTGGGGAGGCCTGGCCCTGAATCTCTGTTGGAAGCCTGGAAACTCTGAAGGAAAAAAAAAAAAGTGTTGGGCTTATCATGTTTATTATTAGCCCTAAGACTATCATGGTGGTATTATTTAACCCGCTTAACCCACTATCACAAATAATAAGACACAGACATCAGTATAAAAAAAATCAGTGGAGGAATAAGCAGCTGTAGCAATAACAGGATAAACTGGGTCTGATGAGGGGACGGCGTGTGAACAGTAGGTCAATAACCCTGCTTCTCCCAAGCCTTGATCAGGGCCGCTGCCGGAAGGTGGATCTTCCCACAGCAAGTAAGGCAAAGCGGACACTTCCTTAAGGCTCCCTGCTCAGGTGATTCTAAGTTGTGGCAAGCTCCTGTTGGAAACCATCACACTGTTGTTACTTTATCAGTGAAAGGCTTTGCAACCCTGCCATCTGCTGTTGGCTGCACTCCTCAGAGACCAGCCCGTCTCTGTTGCACACTCTATGACTTCATTTTGATCACCACCTGACCAAGAAAGAGATGTAGCAAAATCGCAACACTTCCATGGCACTTTCCAGCAGGTAACCAGTGAAGCCAGAATTTGCTCCTAGATCCGTGTGATACCTCCTGTGTCCTTTCCGTCTGCTTTCTGTGGCTTCTTACCATAAACAGGAAGAGACATTTATGGTTTTGCCACGGTCATCACAGCCCCTCATCCTCAGCATCTATGAGAAAATTGCCAGTTAGTTCTTGGGTCAGGGAGGGACCGGGTGAAGACTCAGCACTCGGCTCTGTTGATGGAAGACTTGTACACAGGGCCCACCAGGGGTACCTAGCAAATGGATCATGCCATAGTGCGCCGGGCCCACCCAGTCCAACACACAGATCCTAACACCGTCTCTCGGTTGCTCAGACTGAGACCCATTGTGCCGCAAACAGTGCGGGTCTTTTAAATGTTTCACAACTTCCTGACGAAAGCCAGGCGCCTGAACAGGCCCTCCACACTAACCACCTCCCAACATGCCCCTCACCCCTGCTTCTGTTCTTCAAATAGGTCAAGCTCGTCCCTGCCTCTGGCCCTTTGCACCAGCTGTGACCTCAGCAAGCATGTTCTGTGTCTCCTCCTTGGACGTGTTCTCACTTACATCTCAGGTATTTCCGACCCCCACCAGGGAGACCCAAATCCTTTCCTATTCATTCCCTCTTGGCCCTTAACAGCCCTGGGGGTGGGGGAGTATTATTTCCTGGCATACCAGAAAAGTACTCAGTAAATAAATGGGTGACATCTGGGATGGGCAGGTAAAGGAAAGAGAGAGAATTAAAAAATCTTGCTGATTTCTAAGGTAATAAAAACCTAGGAATCTGTATTCAGGAGAGATCCCCCTGCCCTGGTTAACAAGGGCACAGCGCTGTGCTTGGTAACACCTTAACAACCGCGAGCCGCTCTCCGTACACATTGCCGGGCAAGGCTCCAAAGCTAAAAGGCACTAATTGCTTTTGTATAAGGAGATAGGAACGCAGCTCCTCTGTGTCCCTCCGTCCTGATGGTCTGCATTATCGGATCTGTTACCATGCTAATTGATGCTGTCTCACACAGACAGTTCAGGCTTCACTCTCAATATGTCTGGGACAATGACAGGCAGACAAGAGAGGTGGTCATTGGAACTCTCCCATACACACACCGTGTGTGTGTGTGTGTGTGTGTGTGTGTGTGTGTGTGTGGCCCCATTCTGGGAAGGGTTAATATGCAGCCAGGCTGCGTGTGCTCAGGGCCTCAGCCTGGCCCCGGAGTGGGAGGGGTGGGCCTGGAAGGTGGAGTGGCGAGGGCTTGACTTGCACAGTCTGCCTTCTCCCCACAGGAACGCAAATGCTTGCCCAGATGGTCTGAGAATGAACTCAAGTTGCCTTTAGGAATGGCTGCGAAGCCCACACCTGGAAATCCCCCCTCCCTGCCCCTCCACGGCAGGTTGCAGTTGGGAGATTCTACAGTCATTAGAGGGAAGAGCCGGGAGTGAGCCACTCACTAGCTCGCCAGCGCTTGGTGGGAAGCAGCAGGATGGACGTGGTCGACAGCCTTCTTGTGACTGGGAGCAACATCACTGCCCCCTGTGTCCTCGGGCTGGAAAACGAGACTCTTTTCTGCCTGGATCAACTGCAACCTTCAAAAGGTAGGTACCAGAGGCTGTGACTGAAATTCAGAGAACTACAGAGTTAAGGAAGATAAAGCAACAGCAAAGCTGACTGAAATAGACGTACATGCTGTGTGTGTGTATGTATGTGTGTCTGTCTTTGTGTGTGTGTGTGTGTGTGTGTGTGTGTGTGTGTGTACAAAGTCCCTGTGGAAGGGAGGAAGATAAATGAAGTTGTATGTTTAGAAGTTTGGGTAAAAGAGTAAGAGAAATCTGTAGCCAGATACTGTTATTGTTCCCATGGGAGAGTTGGGGACCCACGCAGGATTTAGGGGAAGGGGTGTGACAGGAGCACTGAAGAGCCATGGGTAGAAAGGGGGGGGCTGGGTGTAGAAGTCTGAACTTACAGGCATTGTAGAGAAGCCACTGTCACGAGGTGAAGGTCGCCTTTTCTTAGGGGAAAGCCAGCATGAAGAAGTAATCAGGGCAAAATAAGGTTTAGCCTAAGGGGAAGAAAGCCACCCCTATTCAGGAGCATCGTCCTTGGGAAAAACTGTTTTCCCGAGTGATCCGTTGACACACCAATCTTTATAAAAACAATCTGGTTGCCCTGTGCTTCCCTGGGCTCGTTTCTGTATGGTGCAGCTAGTATAGGAATGCTTGGGTTCGGTGATGCTTAGGCTGGGGACACCATCAGGAAATGGCCACTCCCTGGGGGCCTAAGGCTTTATTATTCTGCCCGCTTAGCCCCGGCCCCTCCAACTCTCACCCTTCCCTCTGCAGAGTGGCAGCCTGCCGTGCAGATCCTCCTGTATTCCTTCATATTCCTTCTCAGCGTGCTGGGGAACACGCTGGTCATCGCCGTGCTGATCCGGAACAAGAGGATGCGCACTGTCACCAACATCTTCCTGCTGTCCCTGGCCGTCAGCGACCTCATGCTCTGCCTCTTCTGCATGCCGTTCAACCTCATCCCCAACCTGCTCAAGGATTTCATCTTTGGGAGTGCTGTGTGCAAGACCACCACCTACTTCATGGGTGAGTCACTGCAGGGGGCCGGCCACAGGGCTCACCCCAGCCCCTCGACAGCCACAGCAGGGGGGCCCTGCCGGGTCCATGCACAAGGACACAGGTGTCCCCTTCAGCAGGCCTCCTCCATGCCAGGACGCGTGTGTCAGGAGTTGATACAAAAGCACAGTGGGGACTGAGTCGGCTCGGCTCTTTGCAAAGGGACAAGAATTCATGGGTGACTTCAAGCCACCCTGTAGCAGGCGATTGTGTTCCGATTAGCTCCCAACTTGGGTTAGGGTTTCTCAGAATGGAGAGGACTCATGGGCTCAGGGCTCTTTGCTGTTCTGTTTCTCATTCTGGGAGAAATTGAGGCTATTTTAAACCATTTAGTCTCATCTAGCTTCTCAAAGCCTCAAGGGAGTTGGGGGTTAGATCTTAGGCCAGGAGTGTGGTGTGTCTGTATATGTATGTGTGTATGTGTGTGTGTGTGTGTATCTGTGTCTCTGTGAGTGTGTGTGTCCCTAATAAGAAGCTAGATATGTTCCTAGGAACCATGGATTATGAAGTAGACCCTGATCGGATGAGCTATGTTGCTGCTTATAGCAAACACATGAGGTTACAATAAAACACACAAAGCTATTTTTTAGTACTTTTTTATGCATCAGATATTTTGCCAATAACTTTTACTCCTGTGTTCTTGTTTCCCAGCCACCTGGTGAGTAACTATCATTCATCCATCCCTGGTTCATGAAGCACGAGCCACAAGCGGGAAGTATAGTGGCTGGGATTTGAACCAGATTAGCAGGCACCACAGTGGTGAGCACATGCCTCAGTTTGCCATCTGCTGTGGTTCCCCTAACCCTGGACAGAAACATGTTCTTTGGTCCTCTCTGTCTGTCACATTGCTTTGTCCCTTGTCCATTCTGAGAACCAACTGGAAAAAGGCACAGGGTGAGGTGTGTGTGTGTGTGTGTGTGTGTGTGTGTGTGTGTATACATGCATGTGCACGTGTGTGTGTGTGTGTGTGTGTGTGTGTGTGTGTAAAGGGGATGTGTGTGTGCAGGATCCAAGACACACTGATAACGAATCACTGATCCTCATGCCCCAGATAAGAAATCAAGATGTCTTCTGTGTTCAAGTCCCCTGAACATATGCTAAGGCCTTAAACAACAAGAAGAACCACTGTGAGATAATAAAGCATTGCTGAGAACTTGCTAACTTCTGGGCCCTGCCTGCATCCCCATGTGTGTTGAACAGGCACACTGCTCCAGCATCTCAGCCAGATCGGGAAAGAGAGTTAACATGAGTGTTCCCGTAGTCACTGAACAGTCACACAGCCGTGAAGGCCATGGAACTACTCGCTTTAAGGTTTTCAATTCTGCGCTGTGTGAATATCACCTCAGAACAGTTGTGATAGACAAATTTAAACCTCAAAATAATTCTGGAATTATTCGGAATGTCATAATAGCTTACTTTGTTACATGTGCCATGTCTTGTTATTTGGTATTGGTCTGGGGCTTTGTTTTTTGCTTGTTTACTTTGGGCACGGTTCTGTATGTAACCTTGACTGACCTGGAAACTTACTGAGTAGCTTAGGTTGCCATGCCCCGCCATACCCAGGGCTTTGTTGAATTTCTGGTTCTAATTCGTGGGGTGTGTGTGTGTGTGTGTGTGTGTGTGTGTGTGTGTGTGTGTTCTGGTATGACAGTGGATTTAGAGTGACTGTGGACCCCTTGCACAGAACAAACTCAATGACATTTAAATCCTTTCAATTCTACATGTCACAGGCTCTTTAAGATGAAGTCCAGTAAAACACAGTGAGTGAATCCTACTCAAAAAAAGAAAGGAAGGAAGGAAGGAAGGAAGGAAGGAAGGAAGGAAGGGAAGAAAGAAGGAAGGAAGGAAAGAAAGAAAAAGAAAGAACGAAAGAAAGAAAGAAAGAAAGGAAGGAAGGAAGGGAGGGAAGAAAGAAAGAAGGAAGGAAGGAAAGAAAGAAGGAAGGAAGGAAGAAGAAAGAAAGAAAGAAAGAAAGAAAGAAAGAAAGAAAGAAAGAAAGAAAGAAAGAAAGAAAGAAAGTTTTTACTTAATGGTTTTAGAAAAAAATATATATATATATATACATGGCTTTTAGGAAGTTTTCTATCCTGGTAAATAGTAATGTTTTAGGATGCCATGTTTAGAATGTCTGTTCCCAGATCTGTTGGACACAGCTAATTCGTGAGTGATGGTTCTTGTACCTGAAGGTCTAAGCTGAGCTTGAGACGTTACAGTAAACATACACACCCAACACAATTAGGACAAGTAGGGGCTCTGTCTTAGTGTGTGCAGGTGGGTGCTGTAGAGAAGATGTAACATGTCTCTCCCACTCTAATCAGGATGCATATTCACTCTATAAATTACAAAGGCAGAATTGTTTGAAAGACCCTGGCTCTCCCACTCGGAGAAACTGGTACATCACTCTAGAACCTTTTTTCTGTCACCTTTTGTTTTTTATGATACACTTTTTTTTCAACAAATATTTTAAATGTAAGAATATTTCTCTCTTTTGAATTGTGTACTAGAAATTTTCTAAACTTCAATACATCAGGCTCAGATCCCAGTGACCTATCGACAACATGGAGTCTTTGGGAATTTTTGCCCTGTAATGTTGATTTAACCACAGGCTCCTGATCAAAATTAGAGCCCTTCTCTAAGTTTCCAAAAAGCCCTTCTGAGGGATAGCAATTTATTTTTATCCCCTTGTTTATTAATTAATGAGTACCTTCAGCCCATGCTGGAGTTAGGCTGCAATGAAAGCTCAAAAAACTTATCTGAAAATTGGCAATGAGATATGTTTACAAATACCTACGGCTTAAGTCCTTTTTAATACAAAGCTGGGACTAAATCATCTTTTAAAAATATACATAATATTTCTTTACCCCTTGAGCATTCTCCCGTGATACTAACTGAAGCCCTGACACACTTAAGGTAACGTACAAATGAACTTCATAGTCAATACCTGAGTGTTCTTTGCTCCCTCCCAGGCACCTCCGTGAGTGTTTCCACTTTCAACCTGGTGGCCATCTCTCTGGAGAGATACGGTGCCATCTGCAGACCCTTACAGTCCCGCGTCTGGCAAACAAAGTCCCATGCTTTGAAGGTCATCGCTGCCACCTGGTGCCTTTCCTTTACCATCATGACTCCGTACCCCATTTACAGCAACTTGGTGCCTTTTACTAAAAATAACAACCAGACAGCGAACATGTGCCGCTTCCTGTTGCCAAGTGATGCTATGCAGCAGTCCTGGTAAGGCGGTGTGTTGCTCTTCCTTTTAGACGTGGCTTCCCCTAAGTTACCGATGTGACGAACAAGATAGCCCTGCCAGATGACTTACAGGACAGGCTTTCTAAGGAGGGTTCTTTTGTTGTTTCATATATTTATATAATGAAGTTTAGTTGTCTTCCCCTTCTCCCGTTCTCCTTTTCCATGCCCTCCACCTCTGGCTCTTTTCCCCAACAAGTTTCCCTTCTACTTCTATGGCTTGTTTTCCTATGTGACACAGAGAGTTAAGTTAGATCTTCTTGAAGCATTTATGGGAGGTATTTACGGGAGCATGAACACCTTATGTGTGGCTACACCACTGAAGAAAATAATGCATCTCCCAACAAAATTAGCAGCCAATGGTCCCTACAATGTGGGTCCTCACGGGCCCTTCTGAGAAGGCTCATTCTAGCCTCAGCCCTGAATGACCAGGAAAGCACACAGAGGATAGTCAAGACTCTAACCACCATACAGTTATAGATGAATTGATGTTTACAGACACGGAAACTGTGGCTTAGAGGTACCTGGGTGGCCAGAAAGCTAAGAAGGGCAAGCAAAGCCCCTCTCTGGGCTTCGTCACGAAGCTCAGCATCCGCATGGTCTCTGAGGAGTTCAGACTGGCTGACTCTCAGAGCTATAATTTTCTAAAAAATTGATGAGAGACCAGTCTCTAAAATTTTACGTAGCTTTTTCTAGTGTTTTTTAAAATACTAATTACTTTGTGTATATGAATATGGGGGGGGGGCGTGTGCCACGGTGCATGTGTGGAACAACCTGAAGGATTACTTCCGTCATGCAGGTTCCAGGGATTAAACACGGGTTATCAGGATTGGTGGCGAGTGCTGCTCCAAGGTAGACGATCTCAGCACCCCATCCCCGGGTTTATAACCGCCACGGTGTTTGCCCAGAAGAGTTTACCAGAAGAGAGGAGATTCCAACACTGGTTTCTTTGCTCACTGGCTGAATGACCTTGGGCAAGTTCGAGCAGCCTCTTGAAATTTCGGTTCTTTACCTCTAAAGGAGTTAATAATGCAGATTTTTTTAAAAATCTGCTTTATTGGGCAGCTATAAGGTTCAAATAAGAAGTCATAAAAATACCTTCAATGAAAAGATGACACAATGTGGGTTACATCTACTAATTACAGGGCTGTTTTGGAAGCAGGAACTAGACATTCAGAAGTGGTTACAACCCCAGATGGTGTTTCTTTGCCTTCTTCCTTCCCTTTCAATGAAGGAGCTTTAACACAAAACAGCATTACACTGAGAAAGAGAGGGATATACAAGACTTATCAAAACATGCCCAATTGCAATGAGAAACGGCCCAGCCACTGTTTGCCCCTCACAATTGTATGGTCTAATCTGTAACTCACACATGCCAGACCGTAAAAGTGATTTAGGGGCCAGACTCACAGAGCAGGGGGCTGTGAATCCTCAACAACCAACTGTGTTTAGAGAAAGCATAGCTCAATCCTGCCAGGCCCAAGACTTTGTGTGCCAGCAAATCAGCTTCACAGGGTGATGGAGAACGGATACTTAGGGAGATTTATGGGTGGCAAATGGCACAGTTGGTAAAACTGAAAGATTTTCCACAATTCTGACTGAAATATTTTTTGACTCCCATTGGAGAGTCAACAGGTTGTTTAGCCTGAGGCAGGTGGTTGAGTTCAGTCTCACCTCTGCTACCAGCTATGTGACTTTGGACACACTGAATCCCTGCAAGACTCAGTATCCTCATCTCTAAAATAGGGGCTCAGATAATAGCTCCAGGAAAGGTTCCTAGGTGAGTGAAGCTGGGACATGAATGCCTGTAGTACAGGTCCCCAATGGAGGGGAACTATTTTCATATTTATTATTTCAACAACTTGCACATGGAGTCCATATACTCCATTACTTTTAAAGACTTCATTATTTGTTTATTGTTCATGCCATTTTTTTTTTGTCACAGGGTCTCACTATGTCACCCAGGGCAGTCTCAGCTCCTAGACTTAAGCAATCCTCCTGCCTCAGCCTCCTGAGCATCAAGGGCTCTAAGTACATACTGCTTTTCCAGTGTTTCTGTTGTCTTTCAACATGTTCATTTCTTTGGGGCGTAGAATGATACCACATTCTTCCAATTTAAGTAGGCTTTCAGAGACACTTTAAAGAGTAAAAGAAGCAAGCAAGTTCTAATGATCAAACCTCTAGCCATGGAATTTTCAAGGACACTAAATGCTAGAAATTAATGTGTCTGCTCAGACCAGCTTGCCCTCATCATTCTTGCCCGCTAGAACTGGAAGGTTCAGAGTCGCTGGTAATTGGATTTCTTTTAATTATATTAGGCAAACATTCCTGCTACTTATCCTCTTCCTTATCCCTGGGATTGTGATGGTGGTGGCCTATGGATTGATCTCTCTGGAACTCTACCAAGGAATAAAATTTGATGCTAGCCAGAAGAAATCTGCTAAAGGTACTGATCTTTGGGCTGACTACTTACTCTGAAAAAGCTCAAAGGCTTGCTTTATAAGTTCACAAGGTATACCCGAAAGTGCACAGCATGTGCTGGAGACTCAGAAGAATTTCTGTCAGACTCTGGGTCACAAGGCAGTCGGGAGACCCAGGCTCTCTGAATCCGCATGATAAAATGAGATATTTCTTCTTGGTGGGGTCCTGAGTGGAATCAAAGGAGAGCATGCGTAGACGGCACAGTTACACAGGGGGCCCTGTCCCCCAGGCTTGGGGTACTGCAGCACTTCATAGACACCCTATGGTGATTCTGTCCTGCACATCAGATCCACGGCCTACAAGCCCAGCTTTCCGCCACCGATTCCTCCCTCTCAATCCTCCCTCTCACGCCTGCCTCACTCCTTCCTCGCTTCTACAGCCCATTGAACTGTCCCCAACACCTGTGTTGACATAACTTTTTTCCTTCTCACTCTGTTCCCTTCTCTCGGTCCCTAACTACGTAGATAACACAGTCTCTCAGGCTTCTGTTGACTTTCTTTCATTACTTGGAGTCCTCACGATAAAAGTAATCTGAAAACTCAGCAAGCAAACAGGAAAGAAAGCTCGGAGAAGAGTGTTAATATTTATTTTTTAATAACTTTCAGCTTTACAATCTTTGTGTGTAGGATTGCATTATTATTATTGTCATCATCATATATGCATAATTTATATTTCTTTGGGACTAGTGCAGACCAACACCAATGTAAATAAGTGTAGGCCAGGCTGCCTGTCCGTTTCTTTAGTCCAAGTTCAGCTTGGCCTCCCAGACTCGGGGAGTCAGGGGCTTTATGTCTTCCCTCTGGCATGACTTGTCTTGAACAATAAAACCCTGTCACTTGCCCATCCAGAGAAGAAGCTGAGCAGCAGCAGCAGTGGCCGATATGAGGACAGTGATGGCTGTTACTTGCAAAAGTCCAAGCACCCGAGGAAGCTGGAGCTTCAGCAGCTGTCCACCAGCAGCAGAGTCAATCGCATCAGGAGCAGCGGTTCTGCTGTCAACCTGATAGCCAAGAAGCGGGTGATCCGGATGCTCATTGTCATCGTGGTCCTCTTCTTCCTGTGCTGGATGCCCATCTTCAGTGCCAATGCCTGGCGGGCATATGACACTGTCTCGGCCGAGAAACACCTCTCAGGGACCCCCATCTCCTTCATCCTGCTCCTCTCCTACACCTCCTCCTGCGTCAACCCCATCATCTACTGCTTCATGAACAAACGCTTTCGCCTGGGCTTCATGGCCACCTTCCCTTGTTGCCCCAATCCTGGTCCCCCGGGGGTGAGAGGAGAGGTAGGGGAGGAGGAGGATGGGAGGACCGTAGGGGCATCGCTGTCCAAGTACTCCTACAGCCACATGAGCACCTCTGCTCCAGCTCCTTGAGCTGGTCCAGCAGCAGGAGGGGGGGCACGGGGAGCAAGGAAGAGAAGGAAAAGGAGGAAGAGGAAGCAAGGGTAAATGAGAAGGAAGACCCATTTCTCACAAGGACTCCTCAATGTCTGCTTTTCATCCTTGACAAAGTTCCAGGAGGAGGAACTCAAGGCGAGGTTGGGAAAACGCTAAGACATTTTCCATACTGTTCACTGTGGGAGAAGCCTCAGTGGGTCAGGGACAGGAGCTCCACGGAGCTCATGCTACAAATATCACTGCCAAGTCCATGTTCAAAATGGAGGTGTAGACCTTGAGGAGCTGTAGAATTTTCTGGAACCCCCAGTGAGGTCTCTTCAGAGTGGCACGCTGCTATGCTCTGTTTCTCCTGCTCCTGCAGAGTTCCGCTCGGGACCTTCCTCCCCAGGACTCCCGGCTACTTCTCATGCATACCACAAAGCCATGCTTTCTCATGGCCACCAAGGCCTGCGGAGCACACTTCCTCTGGCCACTTCTGGATATTGGGATAGTCTGATACTTCTTAAGCTTGAGGTCGGTCAGGCACACTCAGAGGTGAAAGTTTAGGCCATCATCAGACAAGCAAAAAGAATGTGTCTAAAAGACAGGCTTTAGAAGTTTTATTTCTACAGGCGAAAAAGTGTGGAAACGGCTAAAAAAAAGTGTCTTCTGTCAGCGTTGCAGAAGGGATGATCTGTGCGGTCAACTCTCTGTGTCCTAACACACACGACTTTTTTTGTTAACCTTAACTCAATTTCTTATGTTTACTGTATATCCTCCTCTCCAGAAAGACCTTCAGGTAAGAAGAGAGATATATACACCTGGGCAAGGATGGGAACACAGAGAGTCAGGTCCCGAAGAAAACTGGCATGCTGGGACTCGGTTAAAAAGGAGCTTTAAATGGCAAAACTGTGTATGCTTTTACGTGCCATCTGTGTAGCTCTCGGCGTGTGTGTGTGTGTGTGTGTGTGTGTGTGTGTGTGTGTGTGTGTGTG